TTAGGAGATATGGCAGTATTGTGGGTTAATAGTCATACTCATCTATGTAGAAAGAAAACCTTCCTATAATTAATAACTGAGTTTGGAAAATTCTAATGACTCCAGGCCAATATTCAGAAATTATATTTCTATAATAACTAGTTACAAATGATTGAAATGAGCATAAACATAGTAGTTTTAGTTATATCAGTTTCATTAATTCTGCTTAATTTAAGTAAAAAACTTGTGTGCATTAGACAAAATAAGTTTTTTCATCAGTTGATTATAAAAGAAACAGTTGTCTTTTGTGCACATAAACATCCCCTTGCTTTTCTCTTTTTCTGGATAATCTGAGGATTGTACTTTTTAAGTAATAGCTTGCTAATCCCTTTTAAAAGGCTCTTAATGTAATCATCCCAGTTTCATTAACTATAAATTCCAGCTTTGTTTTTAAAACCCCATTTCAAAATCCATATCTGGCACCTTCTGATCGGCACACTTTTAGTCTGGTGAAGCAGCAGGCCCACTGTGACGCCTAAGTAAGCGGTGTGGTATAGACATGAGTAAGACTTTAATCATGTCTCATTTTATTGACGACACTCATTCCAGGCAGGAAAAAATGACTCAGTTACGGCAGAAGGCATATCATATGAGTTTCATCCATTGTAAACAAAAAAAATGCTGTGTTTTAGCATATCCAACAATGGAAGGGTTCTGAAACTGTGACCTGTCTCTGAAAAGGCGTGATGGTGAAAGTTGTCAGAAATGGAAAGAAGCGTCCATGTGAGGTGCAGGCTGATGAGAACAGTCTTCCCGGGCCTGTTTAGTTTTGCTTGTGTTGCTTGCCATGCATGAATGGAAGTGCTACACTCTCGGGGGAGCAGGAGAGCCTCCCGAGTCGGTTGTTTATCTCCTTAATCCCTCCTCCTTTGTGATTTCTTATGTCAGATCTGAAATGGAAAGCCTGTAAATATAATGATTATCACATGGATAATCACCTGCATTAGGAACCGCCCTGCTTCTCGGTTCTAACCCTGGCTGTTCTCCACATGTCACAGCCACTCTGTGGTTGGATTTTAACCTGACTGCTTCATTAGATTTGTGAGACTCCGTACGAGGCGCCCTGGGGCAGCACAGATGGGGACTTGCTTGTTTTCTTTTCTCACTTTTCCCGCAATGGCACTAGCAAGTCCTTTCCAATTTAGTGGGATCAGTTCTCTTGGAATTACTCCTGATATTCGGAGCCCGCCTCACTTGTCTGCCCACCATCTATGCTCATTCTTTCTCCCCTGTTTTCTGACTCGCTGCCTTTGCTTTCTGCTCTTTCATGCAGGGAATCTGAGAGCAAAAATTCTACTTAAAATTCTCGCTGGGTCAAACTGTTCCCCTGTGTTGTCGTGTTTGTTTTGCTGAGGGGGAAAAAATAAATGCTGTTCCACAAACACCTTCAGATCAGAGGTTAGTGGTGACAGAGTCCACAGTGACGTGAGACAGCTTCCTTCTCTAATGGTGTGACTTCGGGCACCGGTCCAAGATCAAAGGAAGGTGAGGGGAAGCCAGACGAGAAGATCATTTTAAGGAATAGAACAAGGACTTGGCTGTTCTGGTGATAGGGCACTGCTCAGCAAACCTGTGTGAAGAGGCACTAAGATAGAAAATTGAGTTGGCTCTTCCTAAGTATGTCCTTCCTCAGCCAGAAATGTGTTGGTGCTTGGAACTGTTTACATATGTGAAAATGTCCTCAGGCATGCCCTCCTTTAAAAATAATGATTTGAAGCTAAGCATGGTGGCATAAGCCTAAAATCCTAACATTTGAGAGACGGAAGCAGGAAGAGAGACAGTTCAAAGCCAGCTTAGACTACATACTTAGGTTACATAGGAAGCCCCTGTCTAAAAGAAAAAAATACACATATATACCAAGTTACAGTTAATTTATTAATACCTGTGAAAAACTGGCATTATAAAGCCAGACCTGGTGACACACATCTGTAATCTCAGCACTCAGAGACGGGAGGATTAGAGAGTTCAAGTCCAGCCTGAAGTATCTAAGAGCCTATTCCATACAAATAATAAAACAGGTTTGGGATTTAACTTGGTGATGTGACACTTACCTAGCAACTTGAGGCCCCGAGTTCAAGCGCCAGCACTGTCCTTCCCTTGGTTTAACTGCATATGGACTTTCAGCCTTTCTGTCATATGCAGTTTTAACTCTTCACATTCCTTCTAATGACCCTGAAGCTCCCTCACCCCCACCCTCTGTCCTGGAACCCACTGCTGCCCAGGCTGAGCTTGAAAAGTAGTCCGTAGGGGCTGAGGAGAGGGCTCACTGGTTAAGAATACTTGTTGTTCTCATAAAGGATTCAGGTGTGCTTCCCAGGACCCACACACAGTAGCTCACAGCCATTGGTAACTCCAGTTCCAGGGCATCTGATGTCCTCTCCTGACCTCTGCAGGCATCAGCCATGCACATGGTACACGTACCTACATGCAGGCCAAACACTCATATACATAAAACAAATAAAACTAAAATAGTAAGTATAGTGGTAGTTCTCAGCAGAGCTATTCAGTTGCATTATTCATCTAAAAATTCATGTAGTTAATTATGACAGCTTAGAAAACACTGTATTAATGTCTTTTCAACCTGATCCTTTGCCTTGATATCTCAGCCAACCAATGTTATTAACTCTGTGACGTATAAAGGTTCTTTTGTTCGTAAACTGAGAAGAGGATAGCCAAGGGTCTGCATGTGCTACGCCTGCCGTCATCGCCGTCATCGCTGTCCGCTGGGGCTCACTGGTCATCCTGATGTTCCTCTCGGAATGAACTGAGTTGTGTACTCAGCTTAAGAGCTCCTGTTAACCTGCCTCTTCAACCTTAATCATGCGTTCTGACCTTTCCACGCCCTCAAAATTATGGGTTCTCTCAATCTGTTTTTAGCGTAGTGGATCATAAGTACATGCATGTACTTCCTCATTAGTATTTCCCTCAACATGGAGGAGCTCTCCACTTTTATTTTAAAGGCACTGACTGTACTTTCTGCCTTACATGGTTTGGTGCAGCCGTCGTTCGGGTTGGGTTGGATCTGCTCACTACTTGGGCTCAAATCCCATCCTTCTATTAATATCTCTTGGCAAAGATAATTTTGGAGGAATGTGAGTTAAGATGTAGAGACTCTTGACAGTTGCCTGCAATTTTTTTTCACTTTCGAGAGGGAAGTAGAAATGAAAAAGTAACATTGCCTCCATTTTCTATCATTCCTAAAATTAAAATGTATGCACAAGCTAAACAGTAAAAGCGTAAAGATTTGGTTACATGGATGTGGGTCGGTTTTTGGTTTTCAAAGGTTTGCTCTGTTTTGTCTTCCAGTAGCCTGTTAGAAAAGCATTAGACTATGTCATTTATGTTCATTAAATTGTGCCCATAAAATATTTAAAAGCTAGAAGAATTTTGTGTATTAAAATTTTTAAACATTTTTAAGAGTTAACTTTTGTAGCCTCTTCTTTCTTCTTAGACAAAAGCCAGATGTAGTGGCCCGAACCTTTAATCCCACCACTTGGGAAGCAGAAGCAGATGGAGCTGTATGAATTTGTAGCTAGTCTTACATGCCTAACAGTTCCTGGCTAGCCGGTGCTATGTAGCAAGACCTTGTCTTAAAACGGGGGCTAGGGGTTATATAGAGTGGAAGTATTGCGTCCACATACCACATACATCTAGATTACACAGTTGTCAGTATTTTGTCAAATTGGCTTCCCTTTGTTTTTCCCCCCCAAAAGTATTCCAAGTTACAAATTTTGTGACATTTTATCCTTAAATACTTTGGGGTCCAGCACTAGAAGTTAAAGACATTTTCATTATCACATTGATCATTCCTAATTTCAAGCTAGTGATTCTTCATGTTTTCTAATTTTCAATTTACATTTGCTAAAGTGTCTTTCGCATCTGGTCTGTTTAAAATAAGACCCAAGCCGGGCGGTGGTGGCGCACGCCTTTAATCCCAGCACTCGGGAGGCAGAGCCAGGCGGATCTCTGTGAGTTCAAGGCCAGCCTGGGCTACCAAGTGAGTTCCAGGAGAGGCGCAAAGCTACACAGAGAAACCCTGTCTCGAAAAACCAAAAAACAAAAAACAAAAACAAAATAAAATAAGACCCAGTTAAGGTCCATGCATTGGGTCTGTTCATTTCCCTCCCCAGTTTATCTGAGGTTAACTTTAGTTAAAGAGACCAAACTAGTTGCCCTATAAATGTCCCATCTTACAGATTTGTTCATTGTCCTTATCACTGTCTCCTTTAATTTGTTCCTCTCTTTTTCTTGTGAGTACAAATTACTGAACTAAAGTTTTGATTAATTTGTTAATTGGTTGACACCGTGAACTCCATTCTGCATCAAAACAAAATGCACAGAATGTTTGGTGATCCCACTACAAGTGATGTTAACGGAAGGATTGATCACAGGGTTAAAGTGATGACAACTTGTTCCCTTCCATCCTAAAGTTACTCTTTGCTCCCTGTGACCAGCATGTAATCTGTGCTGCTTGGAGTCCGTGTGAAGAACCAGTCCCCTGACATCCTTCCATCTGATGACTTTAACAACCACTTGTGATCCCTGTCTCTATAAATTATTTTTTTCAGTATCTGTACCTCTAGGAGCAGGCAGTCTTGTCTCCAGAAGAGCTTTCTGAGAGGTACTGTTTTAATTAAGAATATAACCACCAGCATGGTCCTTGGGTATCAAATGATTGTCTTTCTTTGCTGAGGTCAGAACACCTGAACTCACTGTGGCAGCTACTGTAAAAACACACACTGCATCTTCTGTATTCTGACTTGTGAAGTGTGTTGACATCATCTGGCCCATTGTTTTTCATGCCAAGACAAAAAGGAAATATTTTTAGAGCAAAAACAAAAATTAATCTATGTAAGTATATTGAGATAATTGTGTAAAAAGAAGACTGAATGAGTTTCACAATGAATTATTTCTTCATTATCTAGCACTTTATAATTAACTGTTCTTTTTTTTTTTTCCAGGAAGCTGCCACTTTTGCTAGAGAGCAAGGCTTTGAGGTGAGTTAACCCACAATTGCACACTAAACAGATCCTAAAGGTTTTTTCTAGCTGATAATGAAGTTCTTTTGGACAGTGATTGATGTGCTATTATACTCTCAGAGCCTCGCTGCAGTTGCCATGGAAACTTGGCAGTCGTCATGGTTTCTTTGTTCTGCCAGCACAGTGTTATGACGCACTCTGCTAGGTCTGCACCCAACATCGCCTACAGATGTTATTTATTGAATTTTGAAAAGCCTCTTGGGAAGCCGAGAGGTTGGGCACAGTTTCAAGCTGCCTCTGCAGATATGGGGCCTGTCAGTTTGCTCGGTTAAAAAGATACCTCATTAGCTGCATTACATTTCATAAGAATTCAGTGCTGAAGCAGTAGTGGAGTGAGACAGAGTAGTGAGCTATAATGTCACTTAAATAAGTTCAACCCTATCACATGCAGATTATCATTATGCAAATTAATTTCCAAAGGTTGTACTTAACAGTTGTTAGGGACTGATTAATTTAAATCCTGCTTATGAACTTCCTGTTTGAAACTTGTCTCACTCTCATCTTTTTAAAAATAGCATAGACTATGTTTTATTTTTCTGAAAAAAAATATTGATAATTGGACTTAATTTTCTGGTCTTGATTCTATTTTCCTAATAGAAGGGTGATCTTGTCAAGATTCAGAACTCCATGTGGTTGTTGTTGGCAAAATTAAGCTACAGTCAAGACCATGTTGTTGTCTGCGTAATATCTATCTTCTAATTGACTGTTAGAAAACACTAACTTCAGTATGAACCCAGGTTAATTGACAGATAATTAACTTGAGTGTATGAGTCTTTTATGGCTGATATTGAGCCAGAACTATGTTAGATGTTCTGTTTTATACATCAACTTGCAATATTATATAACTACAGTAACTTTAAAATTATATTTATTTATTTAGTAGGAGGGCACATGCCTGCCACAGCATATGTGTGGAACTCTAAGGAGAACTTGCTGGAGTCAGTTCTGTCCTTCCACCCTGTGGGACTGGGGATTGAACTCTGGTCATCCAGTTTGGCAGCAAGCACCTTTACCAGCCGAGCCGTCTCACCCATGTAACTTTAGAAATTTAATGTGACTGGAGCTAAGATTCAGGACCTCTGCCCTGATTTGCATACTCACTGTTGTCTACCGCGTACAGAAGCTGTGAGCATTGACTGAACAATACTAGTAAGCTTTAAGCCCCTTACAGAAAGTTGAATCTGTGATACAACTTATTTAAATTACTAAAAGCAGATCCATCATTAAGGAACAAAATAATCCACATGCATAGTATCTGTGTCATAGAACGTATAGAACCAGAAACACCTCCTCTTCTTAAAGAAAATAAGCATGTCTCTAAGAATTCTCTCAAGATCATTTGAAAGCATAAGGAAATTACATCATAGTTGACTTCTTAGAAGTTTGCTTTTGTTATTTTATGTTGGGCTAGAGAGATAGCACTCATGTACACACACACACTTAAAACAACTGTTTTATTGTGAAAATATATGTATATGTTTTCAGTCATTTTTAAAGTTTGAGTGACAAGCATGGCTAGGTGCACTCCTTTAATCCCTATACTCTAGAGTCAGAGGCAAGCCGGTCTCTGTGAGTTCAAAGCCAGCCAGGGCTGCATAGTGATACCCTATCTCAAATTACAAATAAAGTTTTACCTATGCTGAATTTTTATACTAAAAGCTAATATTCTCAAATATTACAAATCAAATACTTCATAGATAAGAGGTTTTAGAATATAAATTTGTCCCTGTCAGTTAGCTATGTTATCATTAAACAAAACTATTTGGGTTCTGTGATTATATTCACAGATACTTAGCCATTTAACATGCATATAGCAAACTATCTCAGTTCTGTAGTGCTTGTGTGATGATTTGTTTGCTTCAGTAAAGCCTAGTACAGATTTTATTCTTTCCTTGAGCTCTTTGCTCTGCAGCTACCTGGCTTATATTCAATCTTAACAACAAACTGCGTTTTTTATTTCCTGCTAACCAGCACTGTATTAACCTTTCATTAGTTCCTAGTTACTGATTTAGAAATTGTTTCCCTTTGTCATATGTCTGCCATAATGGATTAGAGCATATAAGCAAAGTGATGATTATCATAATCACATCCCCTATTACCTCCTGACATACCAAAACAGCTCTGCCAGTGATGTTGACAGTGGTATGTTAGAGTCGACAAACCACATAGTGTCTGGTCCCTGCATGGATTCCCAAAAATCATTAGAAGCATTGCAGAATACATAGAAGCCATATATAGACTAGCCTTAAGTCAGCATTGTTAATAAAAATACAGTCCAGGTGGGGAATGCCGTCTGAGAAATCCCATGATTTTGTAATGTCATTAGAGAAAAATAGGAAAGCATAGGTGTCGAGTGTAGTACTCTTGAATAAAACAAGTGTAAATCACTTTATCTTTTACAGTTTTCTGTCTATGGAAGTGTTCTGATGTTCTCAAGTCTAGTATAAGAAACTAGACAAAAATCTGTATGTTATCACTCCCAACTTTAATATTGGCTCTAAATTTGGAGCCAAGCTAAAAAAAAAAAAACCAAAAGAGGTAGAGTAATTGAAAGAAGGGGATGGTAAGCATCTTTCCTTCCTACCAGCACCCCTCCCGGCCCTTCCTTATTTTCTGTTATTAATCCCAATCCTTTCTCAAAACCACTGAGTGTTGCCATCAGTGATCTGACTGCTGACAGGCCAGCCCGACGCCTCTAAAAATATCCTGTGTTTATTCATCAGGAAAGACCCTCAGCAGCACTGTTTATGGCGCCCTAGTGGTTTTCTCTGCAAATTCTAGATAATCTTTATTTTTTCAAAAACATCTTTAATCTTTAAAATGAATGGGCATTTTTTTTTTAGTGAGAAGCAGCAGCTCAGGAGGGCACTGGAGAAGGAGATAAAAGCTGGAGCTAGGCAGAGCACAAGGTAGGCTCTTTCTATATAGGGGATAGAAAATTGCATAGTGCCCGATTTAAATGACAGCCCTGCTAAGAATTTAAAATGACAATTCTTGGTAAAGAGTTCTGGGAAGCCTTTTGTTATTCTGGAAAAACAGCTCCGAGTGCAATGTGTTGTTCAATCTTCCTTATCTTGAGCTGAACTTAGTTAAAGGTTTGCATTTTTAGAACCTAAGTAAAAACAAGGTACTTAAAAGCATGCTTCATTATGGAGCCTTTTAAAAACTGTCATAAATTTATGTAAATTAAATAAAATGAAGAAAATACCTCCAAAACCTAGATTTAGTTATTCTCTGTTATTTCTGTTGTCTCTGCAGACCGAATATGTACCAAATTCTGAAAGGAATTCAAACCTATTGAGTCATTTATTCAACATTACTTCAAGAAAAAAATGTTCCTTTTCTTGTCGATGTCTAAGGTAGAATACTCTGTCCATTGAGGGAACAAGGTGATCTCACTCCCTTTCCTTCTTCCCTCAGCCCCTTACAACCCAGAACATCTTAGAATTACAGTCTCTCTGACCAGTGAGGACTCAATCATCTTATAACACTCAACGACCAAAGTATAGAGTTGTGTGATCCAATAGCCATACATGGCTGCTCAAATTAAGATTGTTTAATATTAAATAAAATTTATTTTAAATTTTAATTTTAAAAAATTTAGGTAGTACCAACTACCCTGAATGTTGAGGCAGGAGGATTGCTTAAGCCCATAGGTTTGAGACTAGTCTATACAACATAGTGAAATTCTGTCTCAAACAATAAAATGCAGCCTCTGTTGGCCTACACACATTTCTAGACCTCCATAGCCTGTATGAATGATGACTACTTTATTAGATGGTGCAGATACCGAACATATACAGTATCTCAAAAAGGTTCATTAATCAGCACTGAGGAGAAATCTACAAAACATGTTCAGGAAGTAATGGTTCCCAAAGAAATCTCTAAGATGATTCTTAGGTTCCTGTGTTCTTTACAGATTTTAGGATTGCAGTGAACCATCACAGTTTCTGAAAATAACTTGTAAGTCAGGCCCTCCTAGCTAGGAGAACATGCCCATGCTTTCTGAGGGGTCTGGGCCCCAAAGAGGGCAATTTTAAAAACAGATTAGGAAAAACACACCATGTAGTTTTCTAATGGTGTTCATTCAGTGTTTTATTAAAAGCATTTACTGAGCACTTTTGATTTGCTTGATGCCACCTACAGACCAGAAAAGAAAAAAAGGAAAGAAAAGAAAAGACCCGACGAGTCCAGGGTTCGATTCCTCAGAACCCAGGAAAAGGTGGAAGGAAAGAACCAGTTCTTCAGGACTGTCCTCTGAGCCCCATGCGTGTACTGTACCAGACGTGCCCCTCCCAATAATAATCAGATTTTTAAGGAAGGAAAAGAAAGCTAAAATCTGACAAACAGAGCTGTCTAGCAGTGGTGGGGGGCGGGGGTAGTTAAGCAGTCAAACAAGGAGACACATTTCAAACAGAGGAAACAAGTACAAAGGCCTCCCAACAGAAAGACCATGATGGGCTATGCACCCCACAAGACATTGTCTCTGGGTTGGGTTGAGTGAGGAGGGCATCCTGAGACTGGAGATTGAACGCCATAATCTTACAGAGATTCTGTTTAGAAGACAAAACAGAAAACCGTTTAGTTCAGTGAGCGGTGTGTGGGAACGCCACAGCCGGGACAGACTGGGACAAGGTGTTCGAACATCTGTGTCACCTGCTCGGTGAAAACGGAGTGAAGAAAATGTGTTCTTTACAAAGAGGAATTGTTCACTCATTTATTGGGTGGCACATACTGCCATGCAGGTATGACGTTCAGAAGACAGCTTGGGGAAATCTGGTCTCTCCTTCCACCATTTAGGCCCCAGCTATCAAACCTAGGTCATCTGACTTGGCAGCAAGCATCTTTACCCACCAAACCATTTTGCTGGTCCAAGAAAATAGAGTCTTTAATTTGGAAGATAATACTACACTAACCAGTGCTGATAAAACCAGTTTTGCATTTAATAAAATGCTTCA